ATATATATAAGTACGAGTCTCTAAGCAATTAAATTAAGGCACGCCTCAAAAATTTTACTAGAAGAGTTTATTTTGATGCCCAAATATCCTCAAATTGATCATCTCGACCTCAAGATGCATGAATATGAGAAAAAAAAATTGGTTTCAAGTTTTGGAAATTGTGATCTTGTAATGCATTTTTGAATCGTCAATTTTCAAGATTTTATAGATCTACTCGATTTACAGTATTTTTGAAGATTTAAATTTTTATAATTAGAGATGAAAATATATTTTAAGGCTATCTCTAAGATTTCCAGTATTAAAACCATATTTCTCGACACTCTTTGAAGGTGCCGCACACTAGCCTGTCCAACGGCCTATATTGAATCTAGACCGATCCAATGATTACGATTGTATTTCATATTTTAATTTAATTTTTTTTTATAAATTCAAATCACTTAAAATTTTGGGTGTGTATTCTTTAAAAATATTTAAATCCAATAAAAATATCAAAAAAATATTTTGTGAAAAAGAAATTGATCGAATTACTCCCAAAATATTGCAAAGATATTTTTGATCAATTTATATTTTGTAAATTATTTTTTTAATATTTTTATTAGGTGCACGTTGATGAGAAGAATATACAATTAAAATTTCACATGATTTGAATTTGTAAAAAAAATTAAAACTAAAATTAAAATTAAAATTAAAATTAAAATACAAAATGAGATCGTGTCCGTCAGATTGGCCTAGATTGAGTCTAAACCATTGGACCTATATGTAATTGTAAGCTAGTGGGCCTAAGCCATTATTACCCGGTCGATATAGTGATTTCCATCTCTATAAAGCCTCTCAATGTAGCTGGACATTCAACTCCAAAGCCCAACTACTCGAATAGCTGAGACAATTGTTCCATTTCCACACCACCGAAGCATGTCATTATGACATGAACCTGCATCCACCATCATCTACCGCTCGCCGCTGCAAGTAAGATGGAAATTCACCCTTCAAAAAAAAGCACCTTCGAAATTCCTGCATCATGACGAGCCATAGTGAGTTGGGACCTGGAAGGGCATCATGGCCCAACATGTCGAATCTGAGAACAGCCCACCACCACTTTATGGCCAGATAAGCTCTGGCAAGACTAACACCTCACCTTCAGCTACCCTCTCATGAATCCATTGAGTATATGATGAAGGCATCCAAGCCTTGCACTTAACTGTACAATTGTTTAGTTCAGTTCAGTTTATGAGTATGCTGCTTCTCAGTAAAAAAGAAGGGCGATTAATAACCCCGAAGCCATATTTTTTTTGTCAACCAAATGATCATTGAGAACATAAACACACACATAGACAGCATCAATCAACAAAGTCTCGGTATTTGTGTAGGGCTCTCTGCAAGCTCAAGGTTCATAATGAAAACAGAAATCGAAGAGTGATTCTCATGAATAACAAATTTTAAAAGAATTTTCAGCAGATTTATGACTCCTGGACATTGAAAGGAATCAGCAGAACACCCACTCGTTTCTTTATCTGCACCTTCCATTTACAGTTGCATGCCGAAGAGAGAAACATAAGCGGCCCAACAAGACAGCCTTTCCTTTACCTCAAAATCAGTCAAGAACACAAAACCTTGACTGTTTAAACAAAAATTCAGACAGAGTGAAACCCAAGTCCTTATACCCAAAATCTCGAAAAAGAGCAGTGGGGTAGACTCCATCACGAAGTCCCATTTCCCAAAATACTCAAGCTATAACTAGGAAAAACACAACCTTAAGTGCTATATGAAAAAATGAACATGAGAATTGAAATCTACTACTATACCAGAAGAGTAAGAAAACCCAAGATAAGTAGTTCGAGCTCAGAGGAGGTCGGCGAGCTCAGAGGAGGTCGGCAACATTCGAAGGGAGCTCCTCGACAACCACATTATAGAACCTCTGAATATCCGTCAGCATTCTTTCATCTTCACCAGTCACGAAGTTAATGGCAACTCCCTTTCTCCCAAACCGACCACTCCTACCGATGCGGTGAAGGTAGTTCTCAGGCTGAGTTGGAAGGTCATAGTTGATAACAAGGGACACCTGTTGAACATCAATACCTCGAGCCAAGAGATCAGTGGTGATAAGGACACGAGAGGAGCCCGACCTGAACTCCCGCATGATAATGTCACGGGTGTTTTGGTCCATATCACCATGGGTGGCAGAGACAGTGTGGTCTCGGCTTCGCAACTTGTCAGTGAGCCAGTCAACCTTGCGACGGGTGTTGACAAATATAACACTCTGGGTAATGGCAAGGGTCTCATAGAGATCGCACAGGGTGTCGAGCTTGAAATCTTCACGGTTGACATTGACATAGAACTGCTTGATACCCTCGAGGGTGAGCTCATCACGCTTTACAAGGATGCGCACTGGCTTGTTCATGAACTTGCGGGTGATCTCAAGGGCCTCGGGGGGCATGGTGGCAGAGAAAACACCGACTTGTATCTTTGGGGGCAGGAGTTGGAAGATATCATAGATCTGCAAGAGAGCAGGATGCACATCCAGCCAGTCAATATGTCATGCTAATGAACAAACAAAGTGTCCAGTTTACAAACGTAGTTCAAACAGTTGGCTCACTTCAACTAAAAACCAGTGCAGATGAATGCACCATGATGGTAAACCTCTCTCTCTCACACACACACACTCTCTCTCTTTCTCTCTCAGACACACTCTCTCTCTCTCTCTCTCTCTGAGGACAGACTAGATGAATGGAGCTGACCTGGTCCTTGAAGCCCCGGGAGAGCATTTCATCAGCTTCATCCAACACGAACATCTTGATGCATTCTGGTCGAAGGGACTGTCTTCGAAGCATGTCATAGACACGGCCAGGGGTCCCAACGACAACATGGACCCCACTGGAGAGAATGCGTTGGTCCTCCCGCACACTAGTTCCACCAACACAAGCATGGACTTTGACGCTCAAATAGTCACCAAGTGCCCACATGACCTTCTCAATCTGCTGCGCCAATTCACGAGTTGGGGCAAGAACCAAAGCCTGGCACTCCAATAAGTCGTAATCAAGCTGTTGCAGAATACCAGAACAGAAAGTTGCTGTCTTCCCAGTACCAGACTGGGCTTGTTGAATCACATCGAGGCCCTTGCAAAAGGGAACAATTCCCCTCTGCTGAATTGCAGATGGCTTCTCAAACCCTACATACAATTAAAGGTACACACCAATGTAACTAAAGCATCTTAACTTACTGAAAGAAGGACCAGAGATTGATGGAAAATTTACAAATTAGATGCTTTTATGTACCATATGCATAGATGCCCCTCAGAAGGTTCTCTTTCAGCTTCATTGAATCAAAAGAATCATAAACCTCATCGTATTGTGCATAGAACTCTACATCAGCATGAAGCCTGTACACAATCAAACAATCATGAGATCAGTACAGCTAACATCAAATATTGAAGAGATTAAAGATTGCTATCTACAGGAAGAACAGGTAACCTTCTTTCAAAGCCAACCAACTAAATATGAGATGAGGCAATACCAATATACAGGATTGCAGAAAATCAAGAGTTATTTCACATCTATTGATCAAACAGGCACAAAGCACCAAAGAAGAAAACGTGCACGACAAGAGGTGAAAGGCCTCTTTCAAAAGAAAAAAGAGAAAGGAAAAGCTTACTCATTCATCTTAGAATCATACTGACGACCATCAAACTGTGATCCTTCTGGTGTCATTCCCGCCATGATTGCAAAAGGCCTGTCAAAAGAGAACTTTAAATAAAAATTAAGCTCCCAGCTAACATATTTGCACATTTTGGGGAAAAAGCGGTACTCCTAGCAGGTGTGCTCTTCCAATTTCCATTGTCAGAATACATAATATGATTACCTCAACCAGATTGTATGGAGCTTTCAATGATGAGAATCAAGTTCAAATACCCTGCTTACTAAAGAAAAAAGTATTATTAATTAGTAAATGAACGCAGACAATCATCCCAAGGAAAAAGAAGGCCACAAGCAAGAATTAGAAGAAAATTATCAAAAAATAAAAATAATGCATATAAACATAATTAATAAAATAAGGTGAATAATGATCAAGCAAGCTTAGAATGATTGAGCTAATGCAATGCAGAACAATATTGTTTGACACAGAAGTAAGAAAATTATTCTCATCTAACGTCATCAATCATCATGTAAAACACATCCTCAAAAACGTATAGAAGGAAGAAACATTTAATCCCCTCTTAATGACCACATTTCATGCCACTGGTTATTTGCCATGGACTTCTTTTTTTCCCTTTAATAGCTCATCTCCAATTCAGTGGTGCAACAAGAGGGACACAACCCAGAAAGGAAGGAGAAAGGAAAAGCCCAAAAAGAAAACACAGGAAAAAAGACACAAACTTCATATTCAACAGAATCCGGAAAAATGAAGAATAGAAAGACACCGCCAGTAACTTTCCCGTTCCATATAACAAACCATCTACTCGGGATGCATGATAAAAGTTTCACCCTTCAATACCCGCAAGTAACTAACTCAAAGAGATGAGACTTACACAACTTCCAGCACTATCATCCACATTTTTCATGTTCCTAAAGTGGTAAGCTTCAGCTGATAATTTCATGAACTATAACGTTCTTCTAGTCAATTTCAGATGATAGCATTGTCAGTCACAATGTTAATATCAAATTAACTGAAGCTGTTAAAAAGTGTAAATGGAAATAGGCAAGCAATAAGGGACCCAACAAATGTACATCCCAAACATAAATGTAAACCCAAATAATTAAAGCATTGTTCTCCAACAAGACTACAGAGATGCAAAGACAGAAACATAATATGTTTGAATTCGTCCACTGCCTACCCTACATCTTGTTGGTGGATATCAAATACTATTTGGCCCTCGATTGGTTGCTTCGATTGAATCTAAGAGTACTGCCGCCAGCCATAGTTATGACCCAAATAAACCATGTAAGGTGGCCCTGGGCTTGGCCAGAAATTGCAATGGCAAGGCCTGAACCCAAAAAATCAGGTTGGGCTGGTCTGGGACTTATATAAATATACCAATGTTGTTAGGACCCGATCAGTGACGGAACTCGTGAGGACACCACTCCCGTTGGACCGGCTGAATTAAGACCGGTTTGCCAGTAGGGACGGTCTCAGAAATTAAATAATTAATAAAAATAGTAAATAAGGAAAAAATAGAGAAACTTATGGAAAAATAGGAAAAAGTAAAAAAAAAAGAAGAGATTTTCAAAAAGATATTAGAAACTAAATCACCAAACAACAAGTGGGGGCATACTACACCTCTACTTCCTTGGCCAGATGACCTACTTGGAAGAATTTTTTCAATCTGAAAATTTGAGCTCCATCTAAAAATCACTAGATGATAATTTTCTAAAGAGAAACTTTGAATTTTAAGTATTCTAACACATAGATCTCACCATCAAAAAAGTGGACAGTCCCTGTTCAATCTTTGAGTTATTTATTTATTTATTTATTATTATTATTATTATTATTATTTTATATTTTTACTATTATTATTATTATTATTATTATTATTATGGAGGTTAATACATGAGTGAAAAGGGTTACATCTCTAAAATCTGGGGGTCCTACAAACTACAATTACTAGTGGATTGGATTTTACCCGAGGGAGTAAATAGACCGTATGCTTCCACAGGAGCATGATCATTAACACTACAATAAGAATAGCCATTGTAAATACTCTTTCAATAAGAATAGCCATTGTAAATACTCTTTCCTATACAGGTATATATTTTTTCATTCTTGTTTTGCTCTTATTTTTTACCGACTTAATGGCGCAACTTCCCTCTTTATCTGTATATAATTCTCGAACTGTTACAGTGCGAAATTTTAGTATGATGTATCTTAATATCAGAAACTACCCAATAAACATAAATAATGCAATATTAAATTATTGATGAATGAACAAAATTACAAAACATCGCAATACAAGAAATCATAAGTAAACCAAAAAGAACTTCAAAATAATTAAATAACCCAAGAAAACAGAAAACATGCAATATCAAATTTTAGTTTTCTATTTTTTTAATTTTTGGGTTATATTCTGATGGGCTTTTACAAATTACAAAAGCACTTCAAATTAACCTAACAATAAAACCAAAAAGGGCAAAAACAAACCCAAATTATAAAACCCTAATTTCCTAAACCAACAATGCAAAAACATTTTTTTTTTTCATTTATTATTGCATTTTCTACAGTAAATATTAAAGTACATAAAGAAAACGTGATGTGGCGTTGTACCTTCACCGGAATCTTTCCAGAATCTGGCTAAAATCAAATTCTAAACTTGCATGTGGAACCCACAGATAGAGATGATCTAATCACCGTTTTGTCTCTTTCAGTCCAGCTTATTAAAAGCCCTAAAAGTTTATTTCCTTTTCTACCCTTTAATAAATTGAATAGGACAAAAAAAAGGAAAATTGTTTACAGACGTCCATCTCTAGGATGGACGTTATTAAAGTGTATTGATTATAAATAAGCATAAAAAATATTAGAAAATTATATTTTTAATTAAAATTTATTTTTCTTTTCATATTCATGATCATCTTAGCCTGGATGATGGATCTACAAAAAAATAATAGAAAACAAATCATCTAAAATGAATTTTAGTGGGAGGCCGCAAATGTACATATGAGTGAGTCGACTCATCGAAACCCATCCCCAAAAAAATCCATTCCTTTTTTTAAGAAAAACAAAAAAAGAAGGCCAATTTCTGCCATCAAATTGGACCAGCCGGGTGAATGTTAACCGGTGTTCACCACCTGTCCGAGGCCATTACTAGTTTTTTTTTTGTGTGTTCCGCTTTTGAACATGCTAGTTAGGTATGGGAAATACAAGGAAATTATTTTTTTAAAATATGTAATCACATGCCATTATTAGTTGGGTATGGTTCGCATAATGTTGCAATCTTAAACAATCCAATTAAGGGGCACTTCTAAATTTTATTATAAATTTAATTTTGATACCAAAGATTCTTAGGACAGTTTGAGAATCTATTTTCATCTCTAATTATAAAATTTTAAAAAAATGGCTCATATCAAGTAAATCTATAAACACGTAAAAATCTTGAAAATGGATAGTCCAGGTAATGTGTTGCATCTATAAACACGTAAAAATCTTGAAAATGGATGGTCCAGGTAATGTGTTACAAGATACAATATTTTTAGGACTCGAAATCTTTTGTTCTTTTCATACATCTCATATTATAGTATTTTCCTTCTTTTACATGTCTTTGATGCAACTATTCTACCAAATCTTACTCTAGTCAAGATTTAGTTAAATTTTGAACACTAGGTTCATTACATTTGTTATATGATATTTTTGTAGACAATCCCTTTTTTAAAAACCTAGCTTCAATTTGTGCATATTTGAGTTTTCATCTTCGATTTTGTTGGGATTTCTCTTTAGATACTGTTAGCCAAGTTTTTTTAGAAAAATGAAAAGAAAAAAAAGAAGAATTTAATCATTTTATGTAATATTTGTATAGAGCTTAATTTTTTGACATAAACAGCCTCAAATCTTTTTAAATAGTTTTAATTCACAATTTCCTTACGGTTTGCGATTTGGACAATGTTATGCGATCTAGAATAGGTATGTAATCTCTTGACCTTTAATATTCATAGATTTCAAGTTTCCTCATCATTTTTCTTTTTTTTTTCAACAAATAATATACTTCAATTTTTTAAAATATGCTATATGCAGATGAATTTAAGACATTTTAATATTAGATCTAGCTTGTATCTATTGACCGTAGCTAATCAATATATGATTTATTTATGAGAAATTCGGTTTGTACTATTAAATTAAGGAAATTTTAATTTTCTATTTGAACTTGAACTTTTTTCTTTTAAGTTTCTATCTTCTTTAATCATTGTTGCTTTCATGCTTATTCTTGAATTTCACCAACTATTCGCAAGGTATCACGATATATTTGGTTTTTCATAATTTATTTGCCTTATTTTCAATACTCAATTTCTTCTCTGTTCTCTATGTAGTATTTTTGTGCTCCCTTATTTATTCTTTATTTTTTATAAATTTTTTGGGACAGATTTCGTGTTTAAAAATTATTTATGGTTTTATAATCTATTTTAAAAGTTTAAATTTTTGGATACGGTTTAAAATTTTACAATTCCGTTTCAAGTTTTTTAATCAAATTGGGCACATGTTTTTTGCCAAAACATTTGGCTTTTACTAATTTTTTGGCATTACGGTGCTTTGAAATATTGTTTTAAGAGCCGCCACCCGTTCAACCAATTCAATCAAAGGTGCGATGGCAATTAGGATCACACCGTAGGGTCTAACTTTGAGCCTACCAATTATTCATATCAACCTTCTATTGTATATCTTAACTTATTTGCATATTTGCATATAAGGAAAAGATCCCATCGGCCCATGGGTTGATGGAGTTGTCACGACCTCATCCCCTGACCCTTACCGTACTTGTTGGAGGGCGACAGAGTGCGGGTGTTGAGAAGATTTGACCAATATTGAGCAATCGATTGAGATACTGGACAGGAGACTGCAGGTGTTGCGCAATTAGGAAATTCCTCTGGTCTGTGTGTTATGGCAATATCATTCAAAAAAAGAATCGACATGGGAACGGAAGACGAAATTCGAGATAAGTACCCCCATTTATTTGATTAGCTGAGACACAATTTTGGGGACAAAATCCTTTTTAAGGGGGGATGATGTAAAGACCGAGATTTTCCCGACATAATGAAATGCACGACGAAGAAGAACACACACGGCGGTAAGAAGAAGAACACGTGCGACGGCAAGGAGAAGAAAAGGGAGAGAAGACGTGCGCGGCAGTGAGACGCGCGCAACAGTAAGCGCACGTGGCAATGAGCGCGCACAACAGTAAGAAGAAGCAGAAAAAGAGTGTCGCCGTGCACGATGCCACCGTGCACGACGTTGCCGAACCTGTGCATGACCCTAGGTGCCACCTGCTTGCTACATGCTGTCATGCATGCCACCTATCAAACTGCATGCCACTTGGTGAACCCAAGCTGCCACCTCCCACTTTTGAGACACATAAGCCTCTCTCTCTTTCCCTCACGCCATGTTCAAAAAGCCAAACACTTAGAGTTTTCAGCCCCTTTTGTGCCCACTGTTAGAGAGCTTTAAGTGGATTGAGTGAGGGATTTTGGGGGCACCAGTGCATACAGGTAAGTGGATTAAGCACCTTGTATATCTTTAGTTATGAAAGCATGAAATTAAGCAAGAGCTTGTATGAATTATGAAGAGGAAAGGTTGCATATATCCTTGTCTATGTCCTGTTTTTCCAGGAAATTAGGCTTTCAATTGCATGACAAAATGAGGGCTGAAATTCCTCTTGTTAGCCATGAAAGTTTGTGAAATGGTGCTCCCATGCATCTAATGTAAGATGAAAAAGGTTTCATGTTGAGGTATGTTGATTGTTCTTGAGGTATGTCATGACCATACTGTGAATTTTCATAGAAATTACATGTTTTTGTAATGAATTTTTGACTAATCAAATGATATCCAAATGGCTTCAAACTATCTTTATTTGAAAGATATATGTTTCTACTTAAAATTTGTTTTTGAAATCATCCAGAAATTTATTATAGATTGGAAGTTTTGTCTCTGTTTATGGTGACATATCCCTGTTATCATATTACTGTATATTTCAGAATTTTCATACCTATTGTACTAAGTTTTTGACTAGCCAAACGAGGTCCAAATGCTTTTAAACTATATCCAATTGAAAGATATGTGTGTTTACTTTGAAGTTGGTTTTGATAACCATATCAAAATTCCTCCTAAATTGGGAATTATGCCTAGGTTAGTGGGGATATATTACTATAACGAATTGCAAAAATTTCAGAACTGCAGTCCATTATGCACTGAGCTCTTGACTGATCAAATGATGCTCAAATAACCTCAAATTTGGTTTGACT